GTTAGCACTGCACAATGTAGAGTGTCTAGTTTCCTTTAGTGATCTCAGAGCAATCTGGGAGCTATAGTTGCTGTTGATGCCCAGCATCTTGAGAGAGCATTATGTGTGTTTATTTTTTTGAGGCAGGGTCTTGTTATATAGTCCAGAATAGCTTTAAACTCACAATTTTCTTGGCTCAGTCTCCTGAGTGCTGGGATTATAGGTGAGTACCACTATGCCTAGATCCAGAAAGTTCCTTTTAAAACTAATGTTAGTTCATATAAACCTTTTTGTTAGCTGCCCTTCTTATCCAGAGCAAGAGCTTAAATCCTGCTGTGGCCTCTGAGGCACTATGTGTATAACAAGCTCTTGCCTCTTTCCTTCTCTCTCTGACCTCATCCCCTGCACTGTTTCTGACTCTATGATGACCACCTTCATCCTCATTCTGAACCTGGAAACACACTCAGACTCTGTTGGGGACACTTCTTCCAGACACTTTCGTGGCTTAGTCCCTCATCACCTTCAACTCTGCAGAAATGTCACCTTCTCAGCAAGATAGACCCTGATGGTGCTTTTGGAATTTCTCTGCCTTCCGGTCCCCACTTCCTACTCGAGTTTCCTCTTCCTTGCTGTTTCCTCTTCCCCAGCACCTCTGCTTGTTTAGCTGTTGCCTTCTGCCCACTGTAAGTGCTATCTGGTCAGGAGCTGGAATAGTGCCTGGCATATAGCAGGTACTCTGTGTATCACTAGAGAATCTTTGTTGACCTCCTGTTAACCTCATGGGAAAGGCTGCTGACTGTTATCTAGAGTTTGTCACTAGCATATGTCAGCTTTTTTTTCTTGTCAACAACTAACATTTATCAAGTTCTACAATGTGCCAGGATTACAAAGTTTCCCAGAGCCTGGAGTTTAACCTGTTAAATAAGCACAAAGCAAATTCACATTGCTGATAAGCATTGCTTTTTCTACTTTCTTGTACAAAATTTACTGTAGTTTTTATGTGCTGAGATATGCATTATGAAAGATCTAACTGTTCATAACTAGTGAACAAGAGCAGACTATGACCTCCAAGTCCTCAAAATTAAGATGGAAGCTAAGTTTCGGCCTTCTCATTTCTTTCCTGTGCACGGCCAGCCACTACCATGCCTGTCTGCACATAGAGGATGGAGTTTGTCTAGAGGTGGTCTGGGGGAGACTCTCCTGGGAAGTTAGGGCCTGGCTGAATCAGGGATCTCATTTTGAGGCTTACTCCGCATGAGAACAAAGGGCAGGCAGTGAGGGCTAGTGAGGGACCACTGTAACTGGGATATGAAGATGATGAAATATGCATTTTTATGCAGATGGGTAAGAAAATGCCCTGTTGCCCTCTGGTGGGGTGGGCAAAACTTGTCACCATTTGTGACTGGTTTCTCTGACTTAGAATGATTTTTTTTCAACATTCACCCACATATTTCAACATTCATCCATATCAACATTTCATTACCTTTTATGGGAGGATAATTCTAGTGTGTGAGTGTACCATGTTTTATTCATTTGTTCATTAGTTGATGGACACGTGCGTGTTTCCATTGAGAGGTTACAAATAGTGTTGCCTAGACATTTATATATAGGATTTTTTTGTAGACATGCATGTTTTAAAAAATGAAGTATATGTTTTCATTTCAGTTGGGTGTACACCTAGGTGTGGCATTATTCTAGATGCATTCCACTGAAGAAAATAGACCAATTGTATGTTTTATGAGTATAGTATAGAGAGACTGCTACTTCCTATAGCTTTCCCCTTTGTTGGCAGCTTAGTGAGTATGGTATATTTTTTACAAATAATGAGACACCATGCCATTTCTTAATAACATTGTTAATTAGTGATAATACTGTTATATATTAATGAACAATATGTTATTATTTAGTAGCATCCTTTTCATTCTGACTTGCTTAGTTTTGTTTGATATCCTCTTTCTGTCCTGGGACCCCATCCAGGACACCACCTTGCATTTATATGCAGTCCTCAGTATCCTTGGGCTCTAAGTCTGCCAATTCAATCAAACATGAAGTGAAAATATTTGACAAAAAGTGCCTTGCTGCGTATGTACATAATTTTTACTTGTCCTTATCCTCTTGTCATATATCCATCATTTGCACAGCATTGTAACTGTTTAAGGTGTATAAGTCGTCCACAAATGGTCGAGATAGGTGGGAGGATGGGTATGGGTTCTGTACAAATGCTATGGCATTTTATGTAAGGGGCTTGGGTACCTACTGGGACAGGAAGGCCCTGAACCAACCTCAGCATTAGTGAGGGACACTTTCTCTTTTCTCTGTTGATTCCTCCAGATTGTGACAGTTTCTTAATGTTTCCTTGTTTTTTGAGGCATACATGTCAGGTAGTTGAATTCTGTTATGAGGTAGTTTAATTCTGTTGATTTGCCTAATATTTTGCTCTGGTTAGACTAAGGCTATGGGAGGAAGAGCTGAGGTAGATCAGGGGCCATTCTTATCACATCACACCAAAGGAGTGAACTGTCAGCATGACTTATCATGACTGATAGGGACCTTGAATACCAAGTTGAGGTGGTGTTTGCCAGATTCCTCTGCTGCTGAGCTACTCTCCTTCCCTTTCCTACTGTACTTTTGGTGGAGAGGTTGCTCTGCATAGTCCACATTTAGGGGGTGGAGAGTGATGCTCTGTCTCTGTGGGTGGTGGATCTGCATACATTATTGGAATTCTCCTGGGGAACTTTGGTTTCTCCAACAACTTTTATTCACTTATATCAGTATGAACTCGTGAATATTTATTCTATATTTTGTGCTGTAACCCAGCACTGTTTCATTTCATTGTTCAAGTTGTTCCTGCTTTGGCCCCTGGGAGCTCTTCTAATGTGCTCCTGTGATCGCTTTGACATGCCCTGCCAGGCAGGTGTTTGCTTTAGCACCTCCTGGCTTTTTGGTGCTGCAAACTGCTCCTGGGTCATCTTGAATCTTTCCTGCTTAGCCCTGGAATCATTCATTTCTCTAAGGAGTCTTGCCTCCTGTGATTGCAAAATGGTATTAGAGGCTGGAAACATGCCCTGGAGCTGCAGTTATATGTGGCTGTGAGATACCTAATGTGGGTTTTGGAATGGAACTTGGGTCCTCTGCAAGAGCAGCACATGATCTTAGCCTCTGAGCTGTCTCTCCAGCCCTGATCTTGGCTGACTTTGATAGAGTCTTACTATGTAGCTCATGCTGGCCCCCAAATCATGACTCTCTTGCCTTAGCCTCCAAGTTCTGGGTTTAGAGGCATAGCCCACCATACATGCTCCTAGATGTGTTTTTCACATTCATTTTTAACCCTTTGGACAACCTCATGTAAAATATGACTTTTTTTTGGGGTCTTTTTGTTTTCCAATAAATCTGGAAGGAGGGGTGGAATGTAAGATCTAAGAGTAAAGACTCTTGCTGGGGTTGTAGCTCATTTGGTAGGGTGCCAGCCTAGCTTTCGAGAGGCTGTGACTTTGATCTCCAGCACTACATACACCAGGGTGGTGGCACCAAGGCTGGAATCCCAGCACTCAGAAATAGAAGCAGGGGACCAGGAATTCAAACTTACCTTCATATCTCTGGCCAGCCTGGGTGGTTATATGAGACCTTGTCTGGAAACAGCAATAAAAACAAAAGTTAGATTTTGGGGGCACTCTCTTCTTAGAGAATTCTATACCCATGCTCTCTGGTGTGTCTTTTTGAGCACCTCTCTTTCTCTCTTAACCTTCAAGGGTAAGGACTGTTGAGTCAGACCTTTGGCTTCATCTCTTCGTCATAGCATGAGCAGCCCCTGCCTGGAATTAATCCCTTGATGCCTTAGTTTTCTCATATATTCAAGAGCTAAAATGATAGAACTTACCTTCTAGGGTTATTGCAAAGATTAGCAGAGGGAGGACCTAAAAGTGTCTAGAGGTGCCTGGCACTTATTCCATGCTCAAATGTGGTGACAGTAGCAGTAATTATTTAGGGAGGACAGGGCAAATACAAGTGTCTCTTGGTACTTGTCCTAGTTACTTTCTATTGCTGTGATAAAATACTCTGTCCAAAACCAGCTTGGGGAGGAAAGGGTTTGTTTGGCTTATATGCCCCAATCACAGTTCATCATTGAGGGAATCAGAGCAGGAACTTGGGGCAGAAACCTAGAGGCAGGAGCAGAAGCAGAGACCACTGCTGCTTACTGGCTTGTTCCCCTGGCCTGTGCTCAACCTGCTTTCTTATACAACTCAGAACCACCTGTCTAGGGGTGGCACCACGCACAGAGGGCTGGACCCTCCTGCATCACTAAACAATAGAGAAAATGCCCCATAGACACAGCCATAGGCCAATCCAATGGAGGAAATGCCTCAACTGAAGTTCCCTCTTCCCAGATGTGTCAAGTTGATAACTGAAGCTGTCTAGCACAGTGCCCATGGGGAGTGCTTCCAAAGTCTCTTAAAGATTCCAACATCTGTAGATGCTCAAGTCTCATAAAAAATACAGCAATGTTTGCAAGGGAACTGACACACATCTTTCCTCTAAGTCCCTCTAGGATTCTTATAATCCCTAATACAATATAAATGTGGTGTAAATACTGGTCACGAAGTCTCTGTGCACAGGACCAATGCATCTTTCCACCTGCACATGCACAGTACAGGTGGAAACAGGCAATGATTTAAAGAAATATCACTATTGAGATGTGAACTCTTAAGATGTTTATTTAATGTTGTAAGAGTGGGATGCCGTATAATTTTTTTAAAGTTTCTGAAGACTTTCATTGATCAAAGTTGTTTGTTTTATGAGACAGGGTCTCACTATGTAGCACTGGCTGCCCTGAAACTCACTGTAAACCAGGCTGGCCTTGAGCTCACAGAGACCAATTTGCCTCTGCCTCCTGAGTGCTTGGATTAAAGGTGTGGGCCACCATGCCTGGATCCATATAATTTTTAAGGTTGCTTTGGATGAGACATGAAAAACTGTTGAATTAGTAAATGAATTTGAATCCTTTCTTGACTTTCTCTCCCCAGTGGACTCATTGGACGGAGCTGGGCTATGCTATTTGCCAGTGGAGGCTTCAAGGTGAAACTCTATGACATTGAGCAACAGCAGATAACAAATGCCCTGGAAACCATCAGGTAGGCCAGCTGACACATCTGGAGAGAGTCTGAATGATCCTGTTTCTCTCAGTTGGTATTGCTAGATCCTTCAGGCTGTCACTATCTGAAATTCCCCATTTTCTTTTCTTTTTAAATTTTATTTTTAGTTTTATGTATATGACTGTTTTGCCTGCATGTGAATGTACTATGTGTGTGTAATGCCCAAGAGGGCATTGGCTCCCCCTGGAACTGGAGTTAAGAATGGTTCCTCTGCAAGACTAGCCAGTGCTAACCGCAGAGCCATTCTCTAACCCTCTGATTGCCCATTTTCATCAGATAGCTCTTGCAATAACTCTGAGATGTTAAAGGCCAGGTTTAAGGTGACTGGAACAGAACATGAATTCTGACTGGTGAAGAGCCTACCATTGTGAAGAGAGGCCTCTTTGCATTGAGAAGTGAGAGGGGAGTGGAGGAGGAAAATATGAATGTTAGCCTTCAGTCCCACGCTGTGCCTCACAGGCTGGAGGGTTGGTGCCTCCTGTTGGGCTGAGGAAATCCACATCCAGAGCTGCTCAGGCATTAAACACCTCTAAGAACAGAGCTCCTGACCTATTGACCTAGTGATGGCAAGTAGCCAAGTTAAAGCATCCTGGGTTTTAGTTACAAGTGGAACACGTGTGAAAGAACAGAACTGGGGTTACTTATAACAGTGACACAGGTTCATGGTGTGAGTAGATAAACTTACCAAATGCTGATGACTAGGTATTAGGGATGATAGTCATAGGGGAGAACAGGAACCAAAGGCAGAGGCCAAGTGTAAAGAAGGTGAAAGAAAGGAGAACCGTGCCAGAAGGCAAAAGCTCCCATTTCTGTAATGACTGTAACCAAGCAAATTCCAGCCATCTCAGACATGGCGTGGTTTAATTAGTTATTATCTAGTATCTGCCTGTTGAGGCTCTCCAAGAATAAGTAACTTGAACTTGCCATTTTGTGTAATGAAAATATGCTTATTTAAGTTTACTTTTGGAAAACACTAACACATAGGGTTTAATATTGGGTTGTAGGCATTAAGGAATTATATACTAGTCTAACTTTATTGTTCTGTAGATTCAGAACTTGAACCCAAAGAACTTACTTCTTACATACAGTTACAAATGGCCAATGCAAAGATAAAAATGCCAGTTTGAAGGGAGATGACTCAGTGGTTAAGAGCTCTGCCTGCTCTTGCAGAGGACTGGGGTTCAGTTCCCAGCAACTCACATGGTGGCTCACAACCATCTGTAACTCTAGTTCCAAGGGATCTGATGCCCTCTTCTGGCCTCTGCAGGCACTGCACAGCATGGCAGCACTTCCATTTGTGCAGGCAAAATACTTATACACATAAAATAAAAATAAAAATTTAAAATGCCAGTATAAAAAACCCCAAAATACAAACAAACAAAACAACAGCAACAACAAAAGCTATCAACAAAGCCACAGGCAGACTGTACTGTCTTGGAAGGAAAGAGCTTGGATTTTGGTGTGTTCTGCTCACCAAGTGTGTGCTGTTCCCTAGGGATTGTTGGATTGCACAGACATTGCCATGGAGTGTATAGCTTAGTCATCTTCCTTACTTTTGTTTTCTGTTTCTGGCAATGGAACCCAGGGCCTCACACACGTTAGGTAGGTATTCTACAACTGGGCTACACTCCAACCCACGCAAAGCAGTTGTTCTTCGAATAAATCCTATGAGGCAGACATCATTGCCCTGATTTTATATGAAAACATATCTAGAAATGATCAATAACCTGTTCAGTAAACAGAAAACTCACAGCAAGACATGATTCTGCATGACTTCAAAAACATGTTAAGCATCTTTAGCATCCATCAATGTATATGCTTTATGGAAATTCTTCAGATATTTTTAGTGTAATATTTGGCATATACAACAGAATAGATCATGTGTAAGTTTAGAAAGAATAATCATGAGCTAAATATCCATGACCCTGTCACTCAATTTAAGATCTAGAACACTACCAACACCTGGCATACATCTTTTGGATTTCATGCCCCCACCTCCCAGTCACATGTAACAAATACCTCATATTTTATATTTACCATTTTCCTTACCTTAAAAATATAAACTGAAGCCGGGTATGGTGGTGCACACCTTTAATCCCAGCACTCAGGAGGCAGAGGCAGGCGGATCTCTGTGAGTTCAAGGCCAGCCTGGTCTATGTAGTGAGTTCCAGGACAGCTGGGACTACAGAGAGACCCTGTCTCAAAAATACCTAGATAGATAGATAGATAGATAGATAGATAGATAGAGATACAAACTGAGACTCTACAGTAGAGTGCCTACCTAGCATGCATGAGACCCTGGATTCCATCCCAAACAACCTCCCAAAACTGGCATATTTTTGTATTCTCAACAATATATTGTTTTGCTAAAAGCTTGTGTGCTTTATGTGAAGATTTATTTATT